CAAGTCAATAAGAGTATAATCGCAGGAGAGTTTAGAATAGTATTGAACCTGATTTTCTCCTTTTTTTTGGGATGTTGTGTTAATTGGCCTTTTATAGGCAGTGGAGTCTTGGGCTCCAACTCTCACATTCCTCATTTTTCTCCATGACTCAAGATAATGAATGTCATGTTACTTGATTTTCTCCACTCCCTCAAGTTTAGGATGTATGGGTAGTGGGTTTATGGAGTAAATTTTGCTCCTACACATGCCCCATTTTCTCTCTCCATATACGTTTCGTTCTCGGGTGTGGAGAAAGAAAATATTCATTGTAGGAATTTGTTCCATGTGAGATTTCGAGAAGTGTCAAGTAATATAATAAATACATTTATTAACTAACGAACATGAGGAAATATAAGTTTTGGAATTTATAAGCAAACCAAGTTTGTTACCTTTTCACCACGACTATGCAAAGATTCATGAGTAAAACATTACCTTGAGAAATCCTTGATCCACAAGTCCTTGAGTTGTGATAATGTATTGTCAAATTTGATGAATTTTAATTGGGATCAACAGAGAATCCAATTGATTAGGATCGATTAAGGATCTGATTGATGGCCCCTAATGGATTGATAACCACAGGGTGATGTAGGGATCGACATGCACCCAATTGATTGTCCTCAGAGGATTGGTAACCTTAGAGTGATGTAGGGATCGACATGGACCCAATTGATTGCCCCCAGGCTGATGTAGGGATCAGCATGGATCTAATTTTGCCTCAAGGTATTGTAGGCCTTAGGTGAAATTTTGTTGGAGATCGACAAAGGATCCAATAATATTGTTAAATAATTGATACGAACGAAGATAGTTTGTGGAATTTTGAAGCATACCATATTTGTTGTGCTTTGATAATGACTAAATTGTCGCTCAAGCACCACTTCATGGAGCGTGTTGGCTTTGGTACACACCTTTCCTTTCTTTAATTTATCATCAACTTCGTTAGTTGAGTTTTGTTGGTCTTTGAAATAAAATTTGGATTTTCTTCCAGTTTGCAAACTTTGCGTGACGTTCCCATTACACCTGCCTATGTCACGTTGAGTTTCAAATCATATAAACATATTTTTGTCAATTATCAAAATCATAAATTGTGGTGACTAAAGAGGCATAGAATATAATTTTCTTAGATTTATAATCAATTTTCATGCAAATTGAAAAATGAACTTGGGATTAACCAAATGAATATAAAAATGAGACATTTAAAAGGTCTTCCACGAGATGAACAATTAATTCTTGCAGGACTCAAATTGGGTGCGTAAGCACTTGATGAATATATGATTATTAATGCATTACAATAAGAATTTCAAGAAATATAATAGTTGAGCTAGTCTATACGTGTAGACAGTAGAAGCTAACTATATTGAAAAGATAACCAAAAATTATTAGGATATAACTTCCATGATAGACTTGGGCAATAACATATGCAGCGGAGAGAATAACCCATTGCATTGGCAAATAGTTGACAGAGTTGTTGTTCACATAGATAAAATCATATAGAAATCATTTAAAAAGAAAGGTAATCAGAATAAAGCATATCTCGACTTGGAGACCAGCCAAGTTATACATGCACCAGGCATCATGTAAAAATTGTTTTATTACTTACTGTAGCAATTAGTAGCATTCCATTCAAAACTATAATTTTACTGAGGCAAACATGCCTCTAGGCAAAGTTAATTGACAATAAGCACACTCTATGAGCATCTTTCGATGAATGTAAATGTTCCAAATCCTTTTTATGCGGGACTTAGCTAGTGGCCCCATTCCATTGGTTGTTAGCCAATTCAAAGATTAGTCAACGTTGGCGGCTCATGGGGTGTGCGAGGTGTGCGACCGCACAGGGCCCCCAAAATTGAGAGGCCTCCAAATTTTTCCATGTCAACTCATTAAATTAACTAAAACACGAAAATAAAAATGAAATATTAAATATCACCCCACAACACCACATGCAAGGTACCAAAATCAAAATTGAATTGAATATTAATTATCAACAAATTCTACGACTTAGAGAGTAGAGGCCCTACTTTAATTTATTTTCCTCTTCCCAACTCTCATGCTGCAACTCTTCTTTTTATTTATTTATTATGGTTTGAAACCTGTGTTTTCATCTTCCCAACTCTCCAGCTGCAAAACCATTCTAATATTCTTTTCTCTTTCAGTAAGTCTTTCTCACTCTCCTCCATCAAAATAAAGCCATTTTTCTTCAGTACCAGTGTACCACCTTCTTCCATCAAATTTTGGATTGTAAAAACCCAAACTTTAGCCCTTTTCCCAAAATCACAGTTCTTTTCTCCCTCCCTTATTCACATGAGAATTCACCACGCATTGAAATTGGAAAATCAATTTATCAGCTCTGTGATTTTGAAGGGTGACTAAATAAATTTTTTTGGGAAGCTCTTTCCGAGTCAGAAATTTTTGTTTCTATATGGAATTTTTTTTCCTACTTATATAGGGTCTCGACATCCATATTTGCACAGGCCTCCAAAATCAATGGACCGGCTCTGGTTGAGTTCCCCTAGCACCAAACGATTGCATGTCTACCAATAAATCAATAAAATAAATAAATAAAAATTGATACCAATATTTGGAAAACTTGAAAATCGTGAAGAAGTTTTAGAAGAAATTGTCTTGTTAAATTCTAGAGCCGCGAGGGATTATACATTCCCTTTGTTACTTTTCCCTTTAATTCTTTATCAGAGACTTGAGAAATCCCATTAAAGCCACAAACGCAAAGGAAAACAATAGTAGCGAAAGCCAATTCGTGAAATCCTAAAAAGAGAGTTTAGAAATTCTTCCTTGTTCGGGGGATTAGACTCCTGCCCCCATTGTAGCACAGGTGAGCCTTCAATCACACAGTGTCAATTGCTTCTCAAGATAACTTTTTGTACGTTTTTCACATACGGCGTCAATTATTGGAGCATAAAATTTCGGGTCCTCCAACAAGTAATTTGATTTTCATATTGAGAAGTCGGACACCATTCCGATTACCATCAGTGAAGGAGGGGGGTACAACGGCAGACGGGGGTACAACGGCAGACGAAGTCTAATGTAACCAATTAACATAAACTTATTACAAGTAACTTTGATTTCTAATAACATAATTTTATGTTGTAAACAAAATTTGCATGGGCTATATATCCCATGAAAATGAACCAACTCAGCTTGCCAGCCCAGTCAACCCCCAACCCACCTCAATAAACTTGTATGGCTGCCAGCTAAGATTAGAAGAAAAAACAAAATACAAAGACACACATACATATCTTCCGACTATGAATTTTTGGACACTCTTTTTGTTCAAGTTAAGCGCAAGCAATGCACAGTATGAAATTAAAAACGTATCGAGAAAACGCGGTTATCATCAAAACACATGTTGAGTGGTTAACGACGATGAGGCTTAAAACTAACGGATTGTGCCATTCGTTTTTTCTTTTGTGCGTTTCTCCGACGGTTTAGGACACGTCGGGTGTTTTGCGCCTTTTGTATATAACGAGTTAAACGACGAGGAATGAGAGATAGCTGTGTTTTATGGTACCGACACCGAATCATATGAGGGCAGAAACAAATAATATTTTAAATATATATTCTTGTATTTTATAAAAAAAGAATTGCCATTAAGACCAAAAAAAAAAAAAATAGAAGAAGAAGAATTGTCATTTTGGGCAGGCAATGGGCCCAGTTGGGTTGGGTCTACCTAATTTCGGCTTCTGTCGTTTTTGAGTACTTAAGGAAGACGTGTACGGATACTGCCACACACCAACTTGGAATTGCAGATTGTTTTAGTAATATATTGAGTAACATTCTACATGACCAATTTATGTATCACATTGTTGATATCATTAATAATTTAATAAAGTTGTGATACATTTATACTGAGTGTGAGAGTAACCGCTTCTATATAGAAGTGGAGTTTACTAATACAAATAATCTCATTCTTATTAAAATATGATGTTCGTAAGTTGGGATACATTTATACTGAGTGTGAGAGTAATCGCTTCTCATACAGAAGTGGAGTTTACTCATACAAATAATCTCACTCCCATTAAAATATGATGTTCGTATCGTTTTCTTGGTTGATAAAGATGAATCAAACAACTTTTCAAAATTTATTGAAAATAATATTCACAACATTATCACGTTGTCTCAAATGCTTGGTGTGATTAAACCCAAGTAACAACTTAATGATTGATTAACTCTTATAATATATGCTGTCATATCCTAAGCAACATCAAAAGGAAAAGCAAAAGGCAAAAGAACAGAAATTGACAAGTTTGTCTAACTGAGAGTTTCAAAGGCAAGTGTGTGCCAATTAGTCCCAACAAACAAATCATAAAAACTGATTATCTTTATTGATAAATGTTGATGGCTATGGCTAAGTGGCTATGTGTCAGCCAGATGAGAACGTTGGGGGGGTAGGGGGCAACATGAACCAGGGAATGGTCTAGTCACCCACATATGAGATGTGACACATTCACACACCCCCATATTCCCACCGCTCTCTGACTGATTGAACCCCCCACTCTCTCTCATCCTCCTCTCTCTCAGCCCGCCATCAAACCCTACAACTTCTTCATTCATTCACTCTAAAGAAGTAGGTGCCAAATATTACTAAGTTCATGAATGAATGTTATCTTATCGAGTATCTTATATGCTGTTAAATTAAACTAATAGGTACCAAAATATGAATTCACTTAATCAATTAGAAATTTGTGTGTGTGATTGATTGTGGATCGTAGAAGTATATGCATTTCAGAATTAGACCGACATATACGAATTTTACCGTGAGACTCACGTGTATTTACAGTTAATAATTAAATACGCTTTTGTTAATTATCCAAATTAACAGTTTTGTGATAAATTGTGTAAATTTTTCTAACAAGATTGAAATTAATGAATAGTGGGCCAAATGTGTGTAGTGAATTTACCTTCCAATTTAATCCCTTTTTCTTTTGCTCCATAACAAACAACTCTCTCTCTCTCTCTAACAACTTTATTAACTTCTTAATTTCGGTGGGTTTGCATGAATGAAGAGACTCACAAAGTCGGCCTCACTATGATTCTCTCACGCCGGCGCTTCCAGAACCAACTTCAATTTCAACCACATCTCCCCCTCTCTCGTCTCTCTCAATCCTTTTAACAAACACGTACAAAACAAAGCAGAGCTCTCGAAATGAAAATGCTTTTTCCACTCTCATCATTTTCTCTCACCATTTTCCCACTGCCATTGCTCTCTCTGTGAATTCACGTCCCAAACACCGAACCCACCACGCCACCCAAACAAAGCCCAAATCTTTACACAAAAGCAATGCTAGATCTCAACCTCAGCTTCGTCTGCAACGACGTCGTCTCCAGCTCCGACAACAACCTTCTTCACCTTCCCGCTACCACCTCCCCAATCCAGAGCTCAGCCAGCTTCAACTCCTCCTCCAACCTCACTGCCGCCGGCGACGACGAAGACTCGTCCACCCTCAACTTCCTCTCCCCAAACGACGTCGCTGCAGACGACAACGCTCACTGTGATGCTCGGACCATCCAGCTCTTCCCGCTCGCGCAATCCGTACTCTCTTCTTCTTCGTCGTCATCGTCTTCGAGAAAGCAGTGGCTGGGACTATCGTCCAATTCCGGATTGGAGGTGGAGCCGAGCTACTATGCTCCTGCGGAGCAGATCGTGCCCCTGCAGCAGAAAGTGAAGAAGAGCCGGAGAGGACCCAGGTCTCGGAGCTCTCAGTATCGGGGCGTTACGTTCTATCGGAGAACTGGGAGATGGGAATCTCATATTTGGTTAGTGTTTGGCTACTGTGATAACACCATTAACACACTGTTTGGATACTTTGATTGTGGCATGAATTTGAGCTCTGTCATTTCTTTTTTGTGTAGGGATTGCGGGAAACAGGTGTACTTGGGTAAGAAAAATCAAAACCCACCGCTTAGTCCTTTTTTTTTCTTTTTTTCTTTTTTCCTTTTTTCTTTTTCTGGCTGATTATATTTTTCTTTTTGTCTTTTGTTTATTGTTCTGAAATTTTAGGAGGATTTGACACTGCCCATGCTGCAGCTAGGTAAGAAATAAGAATCCTATTGTTTCATATAAATGTTTTTTTTAATAAAAAATTTAGTGCATGTTTTTTTTTCTTTTATTTTTTTTATTTTAACGTTTCGGGAATTTGTGGGTGTTTGGTAAACATGAACTTAGGGCATATGATCGAGCTGCGATCAAGTTCCGTGGAACTGAAGCTGATATTAATTTCAATGTTAGTGATTATGAAGACGATATTAAGCAGGTCGGTTTTGGAGTGTTATGTGTACAATATGGTGAAGATTTTTCCTGGCATTGTCTTATTTCGTTCTGGGGTTGAATTTGACTGACGCAGATGAGCAATTTTACAAAGGAAGAGTTTGTGCATATCCTGCGTCGCCAGAGCACCGGATTCTCTAGAGGAAGCTCAAAATACAGGGGAGTCACGTTGCACAAATGTGGCCGCTGGGAAGCTCGTATGGGCCAGTTTCTGGGCAAGAAGTAAGAACCCCTTTCTGTTTTTACTGTCATTATTTTATGTGTCAATGTGTTTGAATATGGATTTTGAGTATTCATCTATGTATGTGGTCTAAGTGATTATGATAAGTGAACAAGGGAACAATACAAAGAATTGTGTTCAGCAAGGACCAAATAAATAGTTGGGACTTCGTTTTTGTAAAGTAAATTGTTCGGATGAATTGAGAAATTGGTTTTCATTGGCTATGGTATTTCATTGCTTGCCTGCAGGTATGTATACCTGGGCCTATTTGATAGCGAGATTGAAGCTGCAAGGTCTTTACGATATTATATAGGCACTGTTTTACTCGATATCTAAACTTTGAGATCTTACTGACCATGGGATTCATTTAAGTCAGTATTTGTTCTTTGAAATCAGGGCATATGACAAGGCTGCCATCAAATGCAATGGAAGAGAAGCAGTCACCAACTTTGAGCCAAACTCATATGATGGTCAGATAATGTCTGAGGCCCACAATGGAGGTATATTGTTGATAGAGAATCCATTTTTGTAAGATCTTTGTGTGTAATCCTTTGTCAATTTAGTTGAGCAAAAAAATTTTTTTTAAAAAAAAAAAATCGAACTATTCTTTTATTTCTACCAGTACATCATCTATCTACAACCCTCTTGGTACAGGCAGTGACAAAAGTCTTGATCTGAACTTGGGAATTGCTCCCCCTTCGGTTTCTGAGCTCCAAAAGAACAACAGCAATTTGAGCAGCTTCCCTGTTCAGCTAGGCTGCGATGATATTCCTATTCACATGAGAACAAGGGTAATGTTGAGATCAACTTTTGAAAGCCCCACTCAGCTGAATTCACCTTTGCTATTGTACAGCAGTCCTTTGCAACTTAAGCTACTCCCTTTAAAGCATTTTATTGTTCTGTTTACAGAATGAGAACTCTGCTCCGGCACCTATGAGGGCTCAACTGTCTCATGGCTCAATGGTGGCGTCTGAGGAGCCTCCTATAATGAGCAACATAAATTCCAGTTTCTTTCCCATCCAAGTGGTAATTTACATTCACTTCTAGTCACTATCATAATTTATTATAAGAAGTTATCAAACCTTAATTTTTCAATGTTTTCATTTGATTGTGTTATTGGTGTACACTTCAATTTTTTATGTTAAATCTTCTATCCAATTTACAAAGAATCTCCTTGTTTTTTTACATTCGATATTCCCCTATTGGTCCTTGTTTTCTTAACCCTTGGAAGAAGCATTGCAGGCTTCCCTAATATGAACAAATTCTTTGATTGCAAAGAGGGTTTATTTCCTGTTTATCACCAATCACTGACAATTCTAGTTTTGCTGCGTTTGTTAACAATTCGACTTCTTTTGTATTTTCAGGAAAGAGCAACGGAAAAGAGAATGGATGTCAACTCCTTCCCAAATTGGGCATGGCAACTCCAAGGCCTTAATGGTGGAGCAACTCCAATGCCACTCTTCTCTGCTGCAGCATCATCAGGATTCCCTTCTTCAACAGCCACTTCACCACCAGCTGCTGTCACTCAACTTCATTTTCCTAACACAACTATTCTCCACCACCATTTTTCACCATCGACAGTCACCAACAACATACCCGGTTTCTATTGCAGGAGCTGAAAACCAGAACCAGATAGGATATAAACCACGACACATTAGTATTTTAGTGTAGAATGTAGTCACGGGAGGAGTAGAAAAAGATTGGTAATGAAATTTGTTTTGCTATGATCATGTAAAGCTTATGAAACTTGAGGATCTTGGTCTAGAGGCATGGTAAAATTGAGGTAGTTTTGCCTTCTTCTAGCTTGTGGTCACATTCTTTTGCATGCCTCCTTCCTTTGAGGGGTGCTGAAAAGCAGGTGGAGCAAAATCTGATTTGGAAGCTTAAAACAGTTAAATTTCAAATGCCTTTTCTTTTTACTGCTGAATAGTTTGTACTTTAGCGTGAAATGAATGGTATCTTATTTCTGATTCCCAGATTGGTAGTTGCTCATAAAGCTTGACATGCTCTGCTACCAAGCACAAAAGCTAGAACAAAACAAAACAAACTTGAAATTCAAACACATTAACAGGCAGCTACATAACAACAGCTTCCAGCAATGCAAATTTTCAGATTTGTAAAGAACAAAGAAAAGGAAATTTATATTTGAGAAAAAAAAAAAAAAAAAAAAAAAAAAAAAAAAAAAAATCCCCCCCCATGATGTGTTAGTTTTAGGAATTGTGGGTTGTTCTTTGGTTGCCAAATGGAGGAGACGTGGACAAGTTGGGGTTGGAGCTAGCTAGCTACGTGTATATCTGTGCAGACTGTAAAGGAAAAGTAGCAATGTAAGGATCCGCAATCCTCGGCTTTTAGGCTGAAGCAGGTACTTGTTACACACTGCACTGCACTGCATGCACTGCAAATTTGAAAAGGATCAAAGATGGAGAAAGAGGGTCGTCGACCTGTCTGTAAATGATAAAGTAATAATATTTGTAATTTTGTGTATCTGCATTGTGATTTATGAGCAGCGTGAAAAGCCCGTTTGTACTTTCATACGTCTCCAAAGTAAAAAAATTCAGGCCAGGTACCTCCAGCCTTTTCAGCGTACCTTACCCTTTCATACTTACCTTTTTCACTTCTTTTTTTAATCATTTTCACATACAAATTGTACATAAGATTCTATAAAAACTTGTTCCTTTATGTTCTCGAGTATTTTGCTCCCACAGTTACCCAAGTGAATTTGTACACAAATGTGATTTGACCAAATATGATTAGAGGAAAATTCAAAATTAGGTGCAAGAAGATTAACTCATTGTTCTGACTAACTGATCTAACGTATATTTATAATGTTATTTAACCTACATGTTACACGTATCTAAAAAATTAAACTCATCAAACCACAATTGACTTGGTGTTAATGCTCACCACCAATAAGAATGATGAGAAAAACAATATGTAAAACCCAAAGTTATATAATTTTTTTTTAAAAAGAACTTAACTATGTTTCTCTCTCTCTCTCTCTCTCTCTCTCTCTCTCTCTCTTCACACTAGAAACCTGTAAGGTTATATAGGGAGGATGTGGGCTATAATTGCCATGCTCCTCCTCCTAGTGTTGTGTTTGGTGCAACCTGATGTAATCTGATAGCTTTATTGGGCAGTTCACAGCTGTGTGCCTGTCTCAGTGTGAATGCATGTCATATATACTTAGATACAAGATTTCTGTTCATGGGGGCAGAGCATGACCTCGTGATTTGCAGAAGTGTGTTCATATATAGTCAGTTTCCTTCCACTTTGGTTATTCAACCACTCTTTCAAAACAATTCAATGCTCTCTCTCTCCGTTTTGTCTATCATTTTTAGGATGCCCCCCTTTCATTCTGTCACTGACTCAAGCCTCTTTTTACTTCTCTGCTCTCGGGCTGGTCTAATATAGGCTCTTATAATTTCTATTTCTTAGATATCAACCTATTAATTTTGAAATCTATGTATAAAATTTAAATTCAAATTAAAATATATAAAGAGGAATGCTATCAACTTTCTCTCTAACCTTCTCATTTGGACCTTCTCCATTTTCTTACACTAAAATAAAGGTCATTAATGCATCTCACAAGCTAATTTTTGTTTTCCAAGTCTTATCCTTATTAAATGTATTGATTTTTTTTTTAACAACTTTCTTACCACCTTATTTTAAAAAAATTAAATAAGAAAAACTGCTGATTTTTATTTTAAAAAAAATTTCCAAAGAGAATTTTTTTTTTTCCACAACAAAAACGATGTCACTTCCATGATAACAAATTTATAGTCATTTGAGGAAAAGATATGTTGTAGTTATTATTTTTCAGGTATTTAAATGTTAAGATAATCACACCCCAAAAAAAAAAACATAACAGTAAAAGATAAATATCAATAATACCAATATCCATTGAAAAGAAAATTAAAATTTTAAAAAAGAAAGTGATAGAATATTTTATTAGCAACAACAGATTCATAGTAATTTTCACAATAGTTAATTAAAAAAGATTTGTTTACAAAACTAGTTGTCATAAAAATAAAAAATAAAACAATTTTATTAATAAAATAGTTAATTAAAAAAATCTGTTTTCTCTATAAAAAAAAAAACCTAACATTTAAATTTAAATAAATTAAATATATAGAAAAAAAACTATTTTTTAGAGTTAAAAGGTGGTAAGAAGAGGTGACTTTTTTTTTCTCCTCTAAACTAACGTTTTTTTTAATTTGATTTTTTAACAAGGTGGTAAAAAAGTTTTAAAAAACTACCCTTGTAAAAAAGTCAATATATTTAATAAGGTTAAATTTGAAAGACAAAACTTAGTTTGTGTGATGCATTAATGATATTGTTTGAAGTGTAAAGAAAGTTACACATGTCAAGACGAGAAGGGAGCAGGTCAAAAGGAAATTTATTGTTAAATTTTTTTTTTTTAAAATTTCAAATTAATTCCTACATCCATTTGGAAATCTTTCCAAATTCAACGTATGTCATTAGTTACAATCCAATTAAAATTTGTTTCTACATTGGTTCCTACATTAATATACAATATACAATAATGGCTTAGTTAGGGGTATTTTAGGAATCAAAAAAGTACAATAAATTCGATTTTGCACTTAATTACGTAACTTACCGAATTAGATCCTAGTCATTGGGTTTTATTTAGAAAAAACAGAATTTTATTCAAACAAAAAGAAAGAAATGGGTTGTAGTTGAGGAAAAATGATTTGAAGGAATTAGGCTCAATTTACTATTTTAAGTATTAAAACATAAATTCGAAACAGGGTTTAATAACTTGTATTTCTTGTAAAATATAAGAGCATCCACAATTATACTCTCTATTTTTTAGTTAAATTTTAGCTAAAAACATATAAAAGTTATTTTAGGAGCTCTCTATAAAATTTAAACTTCAATCATGCTCTCTAGTTTAGAGAGTCATAATGTTACAACTCTTTTTTAATTGGTCCATTTCTATTAAAAAATAAATATAAAAAATAATAAACATTAATTAAAGGTTTGAAATACTCATTAAATTATAGGGAGCCACTCAGAGTCTTTTCTCTCTCTTCAGATTTAGGAGCTTCTAGAGGTCTCTCTTTTTTAGGAGGTGGATAGGGAGCATAGTTAGGTTTGTATTTTTCCAATTCCTCCCTAAAATTTGTCTAAGGAAATGATTTAGAGAGCCCATTGTGGATGCTCTCTATTTCTTAGCTAAAATTTGGCTAAAAATATAAGAAAGCTATTTTAGGAGCTCTCTAAAAAATTTTAACTCCAACCATACTCCCTAATTTGGAGAGTCATAAATGCTATAATTCTTTTTTGATTGGTCCATCTCTATGAAGAAATAAAATAAAAAATAGTTAGCATTAAATAAAGGTTTGAAATACTCATTAAATAAAGCAGCATTAAATTATAGGGAGCCACTAGGAGTCCTTTCTCTCTCCTCAGATTTAAGAGCTCCTAAAGGACTCCCTATTTTAGGAGGTGGATAGGGAGCGTGATTGGAGTTGCATTTTTACGATTCCTCCCTAAAATTTGTCTAAGGAGGTAGTTTAGGGAGTCCATTGTGGATGCTCTAAGGCTAATAGCGACTTCACAAAGGGGTCTCTCACTCTCTGCATTTATTTGCTGCATGGGCGGTTGGAAGATTTACTTTCCTTTCAATGGCACTGTTTATGCATATGCATGGCTTGTACACAAACATTTAAACCAAATTAAATCACTACTGAAACTTAATTATAACTCAAATCCTTCTTTTGGGAATTTCCTTTTCACTCACAGTGTATGTGTATTTAATTTCTTAATGTGATGAATAATGTTATCTTGTCACATTATTTAATGTGCCAAATAAATTCTTATTTTGGCAAACTGAATTCGATAATGCTAGCCAGGATTTTCTCATCATTACCACTCATGATATTGTTACATTTGGTTTCTCAACTAAATTGACAGAGGATATTTGGTTTATTGAGTTGATAAATGCAAGAAGAGAATGAGAGTATATTTTGTTACATGTTCAATAAATTTGGTCTAAATAGATTACACGTGTAATGATGTTATAAAGTTGGATTGAGTTTAGGCCACACATTTAATGATTCAAATAAGAATCAATTTAATTTACAGTTTAAATTCACAGTCTGACAACATAAATATTTTGTTTAATTCGACAAAATAATACATTTCCCACGTGTCTATATCTTACTTACTAGAAACAAATGAGAAGATCCACAGTCAAACCCAACTTTACCGTATATTCCTCTCCCTCACAAACACACACCAGAAAACACAGCGCTTGTGTGTGTGGAATGCATCAAGCAAGTACACGCCACTGCACTGCAACTATTTGAAATGAAAGAGCGAGAGTGTGCAGAGGAGTACAACTGCTTTTACTATTTTACTGATTTGCTGTTTTACTACTCTAAAGTAGACTGTATATATATAGAGTGGTCCAGTCAACAGGCGTTGGGCATGTTCATGATCCTCTCTCTCTCTCTCTCTCTTCTCTCTCTCTCTCTTGCATTGCATTGCATTGCATGTAAATAAACCTGGGTTCCTAGGTTTCCCTTTCACAATAATACACACTAGAATACAACACAAAACAACTCAGGCTCATATTTTGATTTTTGGGGGTACCTTTTTGAACTGTATGTGATGGAATCTTCAGGGGATGATAAGGTTGATGAGTCACAGTCAAAGTCCTGCCTGCCTACCTAGGCTACCATTCTAATCTTCACTCTGTATCTGCCAGAATTATAGAGTGAGATTTTTTACCCTTGGATCATTCTTATTTACTCTCTCTCTCTCTCTCTCTCTCTCTCTCTCTCTCTCTATCTGCAAGAGAAGAGACTTCACTTTTTATAAGCAAACAGGGATGCCAATAGTGAACTAATTTGCACGCGGCCGGATGGATATTATTGAAGCAACAGTTGAAATTAGAGAGGCCAGTTGAAATTATTGAAGCAACAGTTCATGAGGACGTCCATCAGACCACACCCTTGAGAGTTGAGAATGGTCTAGCTAGCTAGGGCTTCAAAAGCTTACGTTCTCACGAGCTTTCAGTTCTAAGCACTAATTAATGACTGTTCGATAATTATTCTGGTTGAGTTGAGTTGGGCTGAAACAGATTGTCATGTGATGCTTCTCCATTCTAAGTTCAAAGTTTAATCTCTTTGTAGGGGTTCCATTTGGCTGATAAATCAGAAAATTTTATATATACAAGATAGGCGTGCACGTTCTGGTACCCAAAGGACCTAGAAAAGGTGAACTGATTAGACTGCGGAGCCCTGTTCCGACCCTACAAAAGCAACCTAACCACACGAGAATTTAAAAACAATCTTTCACCAAAAGAACTACAGTGGCCTACATAATGCAAGTAAGAAGACAATGCACCTCTAATTGCCTAATCTGACCCTTAATGCCTCAGGCAAAAGCATGCAAGGGTGCCTTTTTTAAAGTTTCTTCAACTTTGCACATGTAATGACACCGATGATAAACATAAAAATGGGTGCTCATTGAATCTCCATCCCCTTTCAGTTAATTTCTTAAAAAATTCATACCTCTATGGACAACCAAAACAAGTTCCGTAAACAACATCCAGCAACGTCATTAACACCGACTTGACTTTCAATTTAGCATTTCATTCATTGTCATTATACACTTGATCACTGGTGAGAGTTCTAAAACATTAACAGAGGTCAATATTGGGTAACATTAGATGCATCCATTAGGTCAACCAAACACGACAGAACCACTTTCCTCAAGTCTACCTGCATAAAGAAAACAAGACAAACAAATAACTCATTACACTAATGAAGAACTTTATGCAAACTTTAATTTGTTCACAATAAAGAAAGCAAGACAAGTTTCCAACAGTGAGAAAGATATTTCCCAACATTTGGATCGTATTCTGATTTTCGTTGATAGATTTGGATAGATCTCATGCATGCATTAATATCTAAATACAACCTTCTTTCAATAGACTAGATATAGCCATACAGGAAAAGTTAACTATATAGTTATGAATTTTGTATGATTTGACTATAGTAGTATATATTCAAAATCTGATTACCGTAAATATACAGAAAATAGACATTATGTGTTCCAATATCTGTGTTGTATGTATCTCACCTCGCTTTTAGAAGAATGGTTGTATTGTATAGGTGCATCCGTGTTCCCTCATACCCCCATCATAGCATATCGATATCCTCATATTTTTCCACTCAAGAAAGTGTGAAAACAGGCCTCCCTCGAGAACATATGTCTCCACTATATGGAGTTATAGTCACTGCATTGACACTTACCACACAGACAGGGAATGTCGAAACTCGAGGCCCCTCACTAGCAAATGAATGCATAGAATTCCCTCACTCAATTTCCATTCTGTGAGAATGCAGTAACCCTTGAACCTATCACTTCGTCTTTTCAAGAAAAACCAATTTCCGACAAAGAGAAAGACGAAGGTTGATCCTTACTAGGTGATACTAATAAACTGTGGATATAACTCAGAAGGTGAAGCTACTTCAAAAGGGAAAATTAGCATCAAAAGAGCAATCCACTCAGTCACACTTGACCCCCAGTCAAGCACGAAAGAGAAACTCCAGCTACATAAAAACTCACATTTCAAATGCTCTGTTGTTTAGATGGCTGAAGCAACCTGCTGGAGACTTCATATTCTCATAACAGGGAATGAGGTTGGTAAATCCCAATCTATCATTTCTCAGTAGATCTGATATACCAAGATCGCTCACACTCCTGACCTCATTCCATTGAGCCCAATGACTGTTTGATACATGCACGTCACTGAATTGTTGAGTGCTGGACTGTACAAATGAAGATGTATTGTTGGGCTGGAATTGATCTTGATGCTGTGGAGAAATTCTATGTGCATCATTTAGGGAAGAGTACCTAGTACTGAAGTGGTCTTGAAATCCTAAGTTTTGTTGTGTAGAAGTTGGCTGCTGCCTCATAAAATGAAGACTTGCATCAGGCTCAGAAGTATTAAACTGAGATAAAGTTGCTCTCCTACTCAACCCTCTTGCCAATATTCCTTCACCAACTTCCAGAATTGCCTGACCATTATTCTTAACATCCCCTGTGTTGCCAGAATTACCAGTCGATATACAAGATGGTTGCAACAAATGATTCACTGGAGGGCACAAGCAGTACTCTTAGAATGAGTCTACAAAAGAAAGCCCACAAAACAACATAAGTAAGAGACAACATACCAGAACTGTCAAAAGCTTGGTTCGCCCTCCTGCTGCTCAAATGAGATGGAAACCCTGGAGGTGGTGCTCTGCTTGGCATTGAAAATCCTGGCGGGACTGAACTAGGAGCTTCTGTAACTGTCGGAAAATGTCAGAGCAATGGACAAAAGAAGTTAATTTATAGATTCATATATGCTAAATAAAAAAGGAGAACCTAAAAGATACCGAGTGAGAGTAAACTTTCAACAATAAAGCACCATAAAAGGCTATGCCTAGTGAAAATTTGCGATCAAGATTCAAGAGAAATGACAAATCATGAACTACCAAAAAGCAGATTCTACCTGTTGTTTACCCTATAACAAATAAACAAGTGAAGAGTGAAAAAAGAGCCAGAGAGAAAACATCATTACAATAACTTATTAAAAGTTACAAACCTGGAATTTTAGAAGACGCATATGAAGGAATCCTGAGAAATTTATTAGACTCAAGATCTACGAAGGAATCCTTCTTGTCCATCAAATCAGATAATGCAGAGTAGTCATTTGATGCATGCCATACATTATCACAAGAGTCCTCTTGTTGAGCAAATGAGAACCTGGACTGCTTTTTATCAAGAAGTTTTCTTGAACTCTGTACTTTCAGGAGACTGCAATCTTTATCAGTTTCACTCAACAACTTAATGAGATTGTGAAAAGGAGATAGAGAGCCTTCAGGTGCATCCAAGTCCATTGCCAAAATATTTGAGATTATGCCACTCTCTCCTATATCGTAAGCAAGACTGCAGTCAATACTGGGCTTATTGGTGTCAGACCCTCCCAAGTACTTGCCTGATCCCATCTCGGGTAACACACTGGTAGGTTCAACTGTCCTATCAAATTCACCGATGCTATTGCCTTTGTTATCAACGGATTTATTTGACAAGTTTGATGATGGATGACATATGTTTTTGTTACTTGTTAAGTCAGTGGATGTTGCTCTAATCCCTCGACCAATACCATTGTTTGGTAATAGACAACCTAAGTCTTTTATGGAAGTTCTATCTACTAGAGCTTCTGAAGCAGTATTTGATACAGCTACTTGACCATTATTGTTGATATTCTGTTCATTCAGTACCAGTGGATCCAAACCATTAAAATGCCCTTTACAGCCTTCTGCAGATATAATAGATCTTACATTGTGAGTAGAACTTTCATTCCTAACAACTTCGGATGAAAGGGGATGAAGATCATTAGACGTCTCAGGATTTTGATGGGGTAGCCTTTCGGAACCTGGAGAACTTGCTGTGGGCACACTAGGGGAGACTTCCATGACCCTGATAGAGAAACCTAGATGACATTAGTTCTCGAACACACAATCAAAAGCATGAAACCACAGATCATAAAATTAGATACCAAGGTGCTCTTGCAGGAATAGATCTTCTAAAGTCAGAATCTGCACAAGAACTCTTAACCACATTCCCAGCAATCTGTTGAAAGAAGATAAGTAAAAGGTTAAACATAACTGAAGTGCACTGCATAGATAACATCCAGAGCTTATCTGCATAAATCATGCATTTTATTGACTATAACACTTCCATCTCAATGATCATCATTCATTTGATTTTAAAATACCTTGCACCTTTCTGCCACTATAGTATAATTATCTATCCTAAGCAAATAAACCAAAACATGTGCAGAGCCTTACATCTGATGGTTGTTTAACAAGTGGTTTAGCTTCTGTTGATCTTTCACATTTGCTATACTCATCCATCGGGGGAGGTAAACCTTTCCCCGGACGCCGATGCAGATTATTTGTAACACCAATATTTTGATGATCTTTACTCCTGCGAAACAGTAGAGTTTAAGATATAAACTACAATATGATATTTACCAAAGAGATAAGGGCCAAGTCACAAGTGAGATTGCCCAAACAGTAAAAAAAATAACAACATTTAATGCATATTTCAAATGCACAGAAGGCACGTGAGATTGCTCCTTTTATATACCTTTCAAAGGCTGAAACTAATCCATCCTTGGTAAAACTATCTTCCTGAGAGCCAAAATCATGCAAATACCAACAATCTGGATTGTTGCAAGGCTGAACCAGCAAAAGAATTCTTCTTAGTGATGACAAAATTAAGTTTTTCTTGTGCAAAGAACTCACCCAGATGAAATAAGTTAAGTACTTACTACATTTTTCAACCACGCATGGCAGTACTTTGTGGTTCCAAAACAAGCCCTGAAAATGCAAAACTCATTCAGCCACAAAACTGCAATCAAGGCACTATAATCCTAATGGATACCAAGGCAGGCTTACCTCAAGGATTTACCATCTAACATAAAACTGTGTACTGATTGAATACATCGAGCTGCTTCATATTCCTTTGAGTATGATATATACCTAATACAAGGAATGGAACCATGGTCCATTATTACCAAAAAAACAAAAAAAAAACAAAAAAAACAAATAGATAGCCTTGATAACCAGCTACCATGCCTAATAAAGAGACAAACATTTACAGCCTTGAAAGACACCTATAGCCCAATCAAAATTGTAAATGGCATATAATTATGTAAAATTAGGGATCATTAATGACTAGTAAACATAGGCACAAAAGAAAATGTGAACCAAATACTGTGCATTCCACATCAAGCAGGTTTAAACTTAAGACACTGAAAGCAGTAAGCCAGCTTACACACAACAACCGTTGTTTGGAGACTGTTGAATAACCCCATTTGCTGTACGAGAAACAGAAACCTTCAAAACCTTTCCATACTGGCCAAAATACTCCCTGCGCTTAAGAAGCTAGTAAAACCCCACAAAAACATATTTCAGAATCTACATCAATAAAAGTACAGATTTATATAAGTTCCATAAAACATCAGATTAGTTGTGCACTAGGTTCCACTTAGATACCTAACAAAAATGAGACACACAGTAAGACACTAGCTACTCACGTCTTCATTTGCAAGGTTAAGAGGTAATCCAATCACATATACTAGGGTCCGTTGGAGAACTCTAACATCAGTAAGTTGCTTCTTTGCTTCAGGTCCCTTGGGCTTTTTCTGTTTCCGCTTCAGATTAATATCAGCCACCAACCTGTTCAAGGAGGGGAAAAGTTAATCCTCAACTTGTCACACAATTTTATACATTAACAAGAAACTCTTCCAATAACTGTACCAACTTTTGACAATTTGCTGCCACTCCGACAATTTTTTCTTTGTCATAAGTTGTACGGCACACTGGACAACGACCCTCCTTTCCATCCTTCTCTGCCATTTCCATAATGTGATGCCAACACCAAACACACACCTGTGACGGTGAATGGGGACCAAGCAAGGCACAAAGAGTAAGCTCACAGGGAACTACCAAAAAATTTGAACAGTTACCATGGAAAAATATCCCCCCAAAAAAAAAACTTACCCCCATTTATATGAATTACAATGTCATCACATTTTCACATCCTTCTATCCAATTTTCTATATCAAAGGTTTTTACACTTAAATGGGCGAGTAACTAAACACATTGTCACATTCACACAGGAAGCAGCAGCAGAAACAATGAATTTATGATGGCCACAAGAGCAGAAATCACAAACAAACAAAACGACCAAGTAAACAAGGCTAGTGTTGGTTCGTTCAGACCTCGTAACCACATTTGCACGGCTTCAGCTGCTGATCCGTAAAATCCATCTCCTCAGCGCAAATTGGACACGTTTTTTCTCCCTTGTCACTCATGATTTTCCTGAGAAACAAACAACGCCACAGCGATTACAAATTCAGCACCCGCAGACCTAAATCATAGCGCATTGGCATTGCAATTGTATTATGCAAAATTAAAAAATTATCCAAACAACTCTGCTCATGAGGTATTCGAGAGAGGACTTACAGTGTGCGATGGAGGAGGAGAGAGAAGCACCGAATAGAGTGTGGAGATGAAACCCTGGATAGGATAAAGCACGACGAAATAGAGAGAGAGAAAAACAGGGCTTGAGGGTTTGGATGTGTAGGCCAAAGTGGAAACGAGCGTTTTTTGGTGGCCTTTTTGCGCGTCTCATGACCTGTGTCACTGGGACTCTATGACGTGTCACCTAACGCCCTTGGACTTCGCGCTAATTTCAATACCACCACGCGTTTATACATGTTTGCCCTAACCCCGAACAACCAATACTTTCTGGGCTGGGCTTTGACTGAAAATATTGGATCGGTTTTGGGCTTGGCTTTGCGTTTGTATACATATCACAAGTTGGGTTTCGAGCCCACAATTAAAATTGCTTTAAATGGGGCTTTTTTCTTCTTCTTCTTCTTTTTTTTTTTCCGACAAGAGCAACATTCTAAACTACTCTAATGTATTTCAGACCAAAAAAAAAAAAAACTACTCTAATGTATGAAAAAGATGATCGAACTCAGGTGCAATGGGTCAGTCAGGCACACTATCCTAACCACATGGCATTTGCTAACTGATAGTGGGGGCGAAAAGAGTTTCGGGTGACTTAACGTCCATTCACATATAACGTTAGTTCTTCTCTCCTTAGTAATTGAGGTCCAAGTATCATTCTATTATCATCTCACAAATGCCATACAGTACTATCTAGTAATTTATCCTAACCCTCATTTGCAGTTCAAGAGAATTATAAAACTGCTAATATTATTTATTTTTAAGTAAATTTAGTTTACAATTTTAGAGATTTAATTTAAGCCATTTGTTAAATACAATGGTTTCTCCTTTTCTTTTTGGTCAGAAATTAAATACAAGGGTCTCTAGAACTCGCTAAAATGACCCATCCAATTTTAGTCAACCCACGGGATTGAACAACAGAAGAAGCCCCGCCAAGTCAACCATGCACCACTCTCCGTATGACACGTGGCTCTACAATTCCAAGTCCCATTTCCCGCTTATAAAGCACACAGCATCGCAACCCCACATCGCCGACGAAGCACGATCCTAGCCGTACGTTTAGCACCCGAAGACTAAAACGAGAGCGCTAGAACCTTCGTCCCGAAACAGAATACGCTTCCTATATATACAATTTCCCCTGCTTCTCTGCTCTGCAGTTTGTACTGATAACTTCGACCATTTCAGGCAAGCTTCAACTGTTTCTAGCAACTTCGATCGTGTAAGGAAAAACTTTTCCTTCTCTTCAATTTCATATACTAATTTTCTCACTAACCAATCAGAGGGTGGAACAGATCAATTGTCGCCATGGCGAAATGCTACCCGACTGTGAGCGAGGGATATAAGAAGGCAGTGGATAAATGCAAGAGAAAGCTCCGAGGACACATCGCTGAAAAGCACTGCGCTCCTATAATTCTCCGATTAGCGTAAGAATCAAGAACTCTCTCTGCCATATACTTAATGATCTAAGAGCTCCATCTGTTGGTAACGATTGGTGTTCGCTTTGTGTTTGATGTTTGGTGATGATCGCAGATGGCACTCGGCTGGTACCTTCGACGTGCAAAGCAGGACAGGAGGGCCGTTCGGGACCATCAGGCACCCGGAGGAGCTTGCTCATGAAGCAAACAATGGCCTGGATATTGCGGTCAGGCTTTTGGAGCCGATCAAGGAGAAGTTTCCGATTCTCTCATACGCAGATTTCTACCAGGTATATAGATATTTGTTGATAATATTTGGCTTGGGTTTTGGTTTTGGTATTTAGTTTGAATTTGTAGATTGATGTTGTGAGTTTTCATTTGATTGTGTTTTGAAGTTGGCCGGAGTTGTTGCTGTGGAAATTACCGGGGGGCCTGATGTTCCTTTCCACCCTGGTAGACCGGTAAGTGCCTTCGTGGCCTATTTTCAATTACTGGCCCATTTCTTATCGTTCAAATCACAATATAAAACATACGCAAAATAACTCATTAAAATTATATAAATTGAAAGTTTATACACGCATGTCATACTGTGATTTGTCTCGAGGTTTCCTTTATTATATGCCCAAAACCTATTTCCTATAGTACATGTAGTTCACATTTGTTTGTCCTCCTTTTTTTAATTAGCCTTGTGTTGTCGAATAATTGGAAATTATATAGGATCAAATAGCTTGGTCTAATGAAACTTGATTGATTTGGTGGTTTTTTAGGTTATTGACATTGACAATACAATATGTGATGATATTGATTGTTTAGAGTGCCTTTCTCGGCTCTCAAACAATGCAGGCATGGCAAGATTGTTTTAAAATGTGATCTTATTTTAAACTTGTACTCATTGGTTCAAGTCATGTACTAATTTCAGGACAAACAAGAACCGCCACCAGAAGGTCGCTTGCCGGATGGCTCCAAAGGTAAGTTAGCGGCCAGATTTTGCAACTAGTGTATGGTTGTAAGATGAATGTGCTTAATTTTTCTTTGTGTTGTTCCTTTTAGGTTCGGATCATTTGAGGGATGTCTTTGGTCACATGGGTCTTAGTGACAAGGATATTGTTGTATTATCCGGTGGACACACATTGGTCAGTTCATGCAAGACCATCAAAACTCTTCTATTTGTTTCATTTACTGGTGGAGTTTAGCATTTAAAATATTGTGTGTTTGGGAATTCTGTTTTCAGGGTAGGTGCCACAAGGAACGTTCTGGATTTGAGGGACCCTGGACAACCAACCCTCTCATTTTTGACAACTCCTATTTCAAGTAAAGACCTATTCATCTTCTTCAATAATAACACTGTTGAATTTATACCACGTTCTAGATAGTTAATCTGATTTGTTTCCCAAACAGGGAACTTCTTAGTGGAGAGAAAGAAGGCCTTATTCAGCTGCCATCAGACAAGGCTCTTCTGGAGGATCCAGTCTTTCGTCCTCTTGTTGAGACCTATGCCTCGGTTTGTATCTGATCCTGCTTTATACTTAATATGATCACTAAATTATAGCTTAGCTATACTCTTTTTATGTCTTGATGTTAATTTGATCCCGTTTTCGGTTGTGGTGATTTTGCTTTAACTAGGACGAGGACGCTTTCTTTGCGGATTATGCTGAAGCACATTTGAGACTCTCAGAGCTTGGGTGAGTATGAAAAACACCTCACTTTTTATTGATTTCCTTCCATAATTCTCCATAGTTGCTCGCATTGTAACATGCCAATGTTTTTTTTTTCCAGATTTGCTGATGCCGAGTAAAGGGGGATTCTAAATAAGGCAGCGGTGGCTTGTGTGATGTTAATTCTTCAAGATCGGGCTGAATATATGCTTGTAAATTGTATTAGTTGTTGGTGTGTGATTTTCTGGCTATGTCCAATAAGCCTTTCTGTTGGTGAGTGTCGTAATAATATGAGTTAAACTTGTGCTTATCATAATGATCCACATATTACCATTAATTATATGCTGCTTGCTTATGTAATATTTATTTCTGTGGGTTATTTTATCTGACATGGTTAGATATAAAATGCTGTCTGCATATTTGTATCTTACTTGGAAATGGTTAGATTAATCCAACGGTGTTGGGTCATTGTTGTCTGCATTTTTACAAGAAATGCTGACTCTAAAGTGATTGCAAGAGAATTCACCATCTAGAGAGAGAGAGAGAGAGAGAGAGAGAGAGAGAGAGAAACCAGAAGATTTTCTAGCAAAATTGTTCATGCTGATTACAAAAATAGATAGGGCTGAAGATGAACAATATAGAATATTGGAATGCATACTTTAAAATCGAAACAATAGATGATAATTCAGAAAGCGAAGATGGATAACAAACTTCATCAGATGGAACTAGCAAACACATGATGATTTTGCTGTTGGACTCGAAACTACAATTGCTGATGTAGCTCAATCAAGAAACTTTGAAATAAGTAATCTAGATACATAACATCCATCAACCCGACCCGGATCATCCATCAATAACCTCCAAAAACAATCAAAGGCTTTCGCAACGACTGCTCTCTGTTTTCAGATGAAAAATTTAGTCTAAGAAAAGAAATTGCTTGTTAAAAGTAATGGGTAAAGACTTAAGCTTGGTAGATTAATAGAAGAACAAAATTTCAAAATAAAACTTAATAAGCAAAATATAATACAAAACTTAATTCTTATCTTTAGGTGAACCGGTCTAAGTTCTAAGCTCAACATGCCATGACTTTTCAGAGAACCAAATGTCATTTGATTTCACAAATTTAGGAATCGTCTGTCATAAACACTCGCGCTATAGAAAATATAATACAGAACTTAATTCTTATCTTTAGGTGAACCGGTCTAAGTTCTAAGCTCAACATGCCATGACTTTTCAGAGAACCAAATGTCATTTGATTTCACAAATTTAGGAATCGTCTGTCATAAACACTCGCGCTATAGAAAATATAATACAGAACTTAATTCTTATCTTTAGGTGAACCGGTCTAAGTTCTAAGCTCAACATGCCATGACTTTTCAGAGAACCAAATGTCATTTGATTTCACAAATTTAGGAATCGTCTGTCATAAACACTCGCGCTATAGAAAATATAATACAGAACTTAATTCTTATCTTTAGGTGAACCGGTCTAAGTTCTAAGCTCAACATGCCATGACTTTTCAGAGAACCAAATGTCATTTGATTTCACAAATTTAGGAATCGTCTGTCATAAACACTCGCGCTATAGAAAATATAATACAGAACTTAATTCTTATCTTTAGGTGAACCGGTCTAAGTTCTAAGCTCAACATGCCATGACTTTTCAGAGAACCAAATGTCATTTGATTTCACAAATTTAGGAATCGTCTGTCATAAACACTCGCGCTATAGAAAATATAATACAGAACTTAATTCTTATCTTTAGGTGAACCGGTCTAAGTTCTAAGCTCAACATGCCATGACTTTTCAGAGAACCAAATGTCATTTGATTTCACAAATTTAGGAATCGTCTGTCATAAACACTCGCGCTATAGAAAATATAATACAGAACTTAATTCTTATCTTTAGGTGAACCGGTCTAAGTTCTAAGCTCAACATGCCATGACTTTTCAGAGAACCAAATGTCATTTGATTTCACAAATTTAGGAATCGTCTGTCATAAACACTCGCGCTATAGAAAATATAATACAGAACT